GTTTAACAAAATCTGCCTACAAGAAAATCTGTCACCAAAGTACACCAACATTATACAGATAAGTACACATTAAGTAAAATATTAATGATATTGGAAAACACGAAGCTTCGAAAATACCGAGGAGTGAGAAATAGTCTTTAACATACACAAACCATAAAATAAACTACAGAACAGAGTCAAAACATTGAAATTAATAAACAATAGGGTAGACGCGTTGTTACATAAAAACGATAAATAAACACTAATACATTAGTCACAATTTATGATACATTTTAACAGTTTAATTGGAAGGATGTCTGTTGATTATCCAGATCAGGATGGCCTTTAACAACTAGAAGATGTATTTTCATGAGAACTACGAGGTCTGCAGATCCAGTTATAAAAATGGTAAAGTTGTTAACTGATATGTTACAACTAGTGGTTTCTTCATATCATCGAATAGCAGGGTGACAGGCTTTTAGTAATTAAAGGCCAGTCCTGCTTGATAATAAATGCTCATATGCTCTAACTTTCCATTGGCTCTTAGATTTGCCGATGTATGTGACCTTACAGTCATTATACATGTAGGGGAAGTGAGGTAAGATGGTTCTCTTTGAATAAACAGCCACCCCTGTATATCATAAATTATGACGTGCTGCCACCTAGGGTGAATTATACGTAACTGTTTTTTCACTTGGCCCCCGTACATAAGAACATTGATGGGCGGGCGTGAATGCGAAAGATCAAAGCGCGTCTTAAATTTTTTTCAACAACTTTAATTTAAGGTAGCACTTAAATATTTTTTAATGATTAATAAGTGGATATCTCAAGGAATTTCACGTTGTTGATTTCAAGCAACTAAGCATTATAGACATCCGATATCTCAAGGAATTTCACGTTGTTGATTTCAAGCAATTAAGCATTATAAACATTCGAATGTCTAAAAACGTCATTTCTCAAACTAGGAGTAAATTTTTGAATATGTAAAAAAAAAAAAAATCTACGCCTAACCTTTATTTCAACTAGAAATGACATTGATAACAAACAAGGGTTCATTTTAATTGGTGAAACCGCATTCGAACTTCAGGTGGCCGTCTTAACCCCATCTTCCCCTATTTGTATATGAACCATAAGCAAAGGAGCATTGGTAATGGTCCTTCTACTGGAAAAAATATTTTAATAAGGAAAACAGGTCTACGAAAAAGTTGAATCAAACAATAATCTAACCTATTAAACTTTTCCAACATCGGTATATTGATACCATAACTAAAACGATAATTTATACTTTTCGCACATTTTCCCTTTGGTGAAGAAAATACAAATATATTATACTTCCTTTCATATGTTAAAATTACATTTTGTTTGGTAAAATTGATAATACAAATATATTATTCATTAGTTTACTAGTTACCCTAATTTCATTTAATTCTTAAACCAAATAATGATAATACACAGGAAAAAGATAAAACAGGGATTATAAAAACATTACCTCTGTTTAACATTTTGATAAAACAAAAACATCAGAAATGGTAGCGCTTTTGAAATGAAAGAATGATTTATCATACCTCTGTAAAGTACTTAGAGGTATTTGTAAACCTTCCTGACGTAATTTCTGATGCACCGCCCAACATTCTTTAGCATGATTTGATAGGTCAGGCAGCAGTGACGACATGATATCTTCATTTTCATTGGAAGGTTCAGGCGATCCTAAATTATCCCATTTGGATTTTTGCTGGTTTGTATCCACTTGTGAGCTTGTAACAATGACAGTAGGATTTCTGGAGGACGTTTTACAATTATCGTGAAACTTTTCTTCTTCTGTTTCTAATTTATTTTCGCACTGATCATATTCTGCTTCTATATTTTTAAAATTAGCGTTTTGTTTTTTCTCAACTTTTTCATCTTCATTTTGATCACCACTGGGTAAATCAGTGGAAGGCTCATGTATAAGTACTGACGTCATCCACGACGTTTCGCAATCTGACTGGCTAAATATAGGTGGAAGACTGTATGATGTCTGAAAATATGGAAACATGTATTTGAAAAGGATATTAAAGGAACTTTTCTTTACCGCTCTGACCAATGTTTGAAGGCTCCAAGAATACTTAATTTTGATTAAAGAATGCTAAAACTAACGAATAATTTAATGAATTTTTGTCTTCAATTCGATACATGGAGTAATTTATATCGTCCACTTTGTGCAATACAAGTCGTCTCTTTGCAAAAGTAAATATTTCCAAAACATTGCTAAAAGTTTAAGATTCAAATAAAAACTTCATAAAGGTCATTGTCTATCTAGCCATCATTGATATCAGGAATTTGTATTTCAATTTTTACTTTTAAAAGTGAAAGTTATGAAACAAGTTATATAGAAAATAATACACTAAGACTTAACTTGCTGCCGAAGGTAAAAACCAAAGTTAAAACTACCTTGTTGATAAGTTTTGAAGAACTGGTGGAAGATCCATTTTTGTTTTTCTTCAATTTCGATGTTTCTATGGAACCAGACTTGAAATCTGTAACATGTCTGAAAATCCACATGACAAGCTCAAGGAGGAAGAAGAAAATGTGAAATAAAAGTAGGAGAATAGGAAACAAAGTGTTTGTACGTCATCTTTAATGTGCAAAGAATCATATCCAATTAGCCGCAAAATGTTGTATCATCTCCTATAAGAAAGTTAAAATGTGTTTTGTTCACATTTTTCGGCCATTTAATGATATTATAGTAACTAGCTGAGGATTGCAAAAACTGATGAATTTGTTGTTAGATAATGTTTCTCTTCTTTCTTTTGTTATTAAAGCTCTAATGGCCTCATTAGATGCTAATTGCATATCCTGCTTTGTGAAAGGCAATAATTGAATAATTTAACTGATCAAGTACTTGCGTCTTTAAATATAAAGCTAAAGTATATATAAAAAGTTTTTATCCACCTTCTAGGGCAAAAATATTAAAACAAAATAGCCAGTGTACACCATCAGGCAGTTTCCAGTTATCATACAAAGAAAAATTACTGTAATCGAACCAGCCAATTCTGTGTTATGAATAATAACATACAGACACACACATATTGGATTATTTTTATAATAAGATGACGTAATAAGATGCTGTAATGAATATATTATTTTGTTTTATTTTAACCGCAATTTTTTCAACTTCATAGGTTTATCAGTAATTTTATTGAAATTACACAGGCCTGCGATGGTTTTATTGTCTTGAAATGTTTACATGTTCTACAGTAATTACTGTACGTTGAATCATAAAAAAAATGCCACTTTTTCTCCACCACGTACAGCTTTTTCACAAAACGTTATATGTACTTTTACATAAGTGAACCATTTTAATTGAAATTGGGTCCCATTTTGTTACGCTTAAAATGTTGACAACTACTGGCTATATATATTCCTTCAGACCAATCGCGACGTGTGAGTCTTATCGGTCGTTTTAGAACCCACGAGAATCACACCACTAGTATATAAACGGTTAACAGACCGCATGACGTGCCATTTCTAGATAGTATATATTTGTGCGTGCACTTTGACATTATTTTTTCTTTTCAATGTTATTTATTCGTCGTTATGGCAAGAAAATGTTGTGTAAATGACCCAAACACATTCTATTATATTTGTGGTAAATTTGATCTAAGTAAGAGTTTTTTCTTCCCGATTTTAAAAAATTCTTACGTGATATAAACAAAATGAATATTATTTTTGAAATCTGCGTAGCTGAATTAAGGAAAATCCGTTATCAAAACCAAAACAACTTTTATGAATTTTAAATTCGCAGGCCTGTGTTATTTGTCTATTCATTTGGAAATCTAATATTGGAAAGTTAGTGGTCACACTTATATAATAGTAGACATTGTGAAATAATTAACTTTGTACATTCCATTGTCGAACGTCTGTCAACTTAAGAGTTATGATTAGCAAAAACAAATATTAGTGAATATCAATATTACACCTTACAACCTTAAACAAATATTAGTGAATACCAATATCACACCTTACAACCTTAAACAAATATTAGTGAATACCAATATCACACCTTACAACCTTAAACAAATATTAGTGAATACCAACATCACACCTTACAACCTCACACAAATATTAGTGAATACCAATATCACACCGTATAACCTTAAACAAGTATTACTGAATACCAATATCACACCTTACAATCTGAAACAGATACACATTTTAGGATAATTTAAGAATTTTATCAATCGCTTTTCAGAAGAAACATAATATTTTTATTGTGATCTTTCTGTTAAACGTTATTGTGGCGCCCTTACCCTTAAAGCGTTTATCTTCATTTAAGGATAATTGAAGTCAATTGTCTGATAAAAATACTACTTTTACTATTTAATTTCTGATATGTTTGTTTATTATAGAGTATTTTTAATTATCATAAACATAATGTTTTTTATAATACGAACAGTCTTGGCCAAAATGTTTGCATAGTTTGTAACACATAGGATCGTTATTATTATTAAGATGGTAACAAATGCACTTAACACTGTCAAACTGAAAAATGCGTGTAATATTAAACATCTACATATGTATTTTGTATAATGCGATTGGTTCTATGGACACCAAGAATGATTTATTAGAGCAGCAAATAATTTTATCAGACACCTGTAGAAAGATGTGTAATTTAGTATTTAACCTATCACAACAAAACCTTACCTAAACATATATATATATATATATATATATATAATGATTATAACTGACGTATGCAAACTTATATCAGTTCATATTAAATATTCAGTATTTGGTTGGTCCTCCTCGTACTCTAATAACCTCCGCAAGGCGACGTGGCATGCTGTCCATGAGATCATTGATGTAATAAGTCGTGATTTCATCCCAACATGTCACTAAAAGGCGCTGCAACTCAGCTACAGTAGCTGGTTTAGGATCGTGATTAGCAATTTTCCGGCTCAGTTTTGCTCAATAGTTCTCAATGAGATTACAATCTAGAGACTTTTCTGACCATGACAATCTTGTAAGGTCTTCCTGGTCGAGATAACCATATACAATAAGCACACTGTTGGCAGTGGCATTGTCCTCCTGGAACACAAAGTTATTGACAAACATTGCCCTAGCATACGGCAGTAATATCGTCTCCATGTGATACCTATAGTAGGCACCATTGACGTTTCCCTGGAGGATATGAATAGCAGTTTTCCACCATGATGAATAGCTGCTCAAACATGTACTGCACCACCTCCTGCGTGTTCCTTATAGGAAAGACAGTCTTTCTTCATCTGTTCTCCAGGAAAACGATGAACACGAATCTTACTATCAGCTTTAACAAACCGGAAGCAGGACTCACTTGAAAAGATGACATGTCGCCAGTGTCCTAACTGTAAGTTGGCTGCTGTCTTGCCCAAGTAACACCGTGACAGTGGTGAATTCTGGTTACTATCAGTTTTGAAAGAGCCCTTCTTGTTTCATACAATTTCTGGACAGTCCAATAATTTAATACCGTATAGCTTCTGGTACGAGACGAGGCATGTCTCTGCATCAAGTACAGAGAAACTGCCTGAACAAAACATTGATTTGTCTCGAAAAAGATTATACCAAAAGCCCACCCTTTTATACAAAACAGGTGTGTATGTGTGTTTTCTCGAACAAATGCGTAAAACAGCATATACAGATCAGAATAACAACTAGTACATGTTTGTCCGATCATACTCTACCTTTTCTGCTACTTCTCGGGCACTTATTCAGTAATTACTCCATGCATGTAGACAGTAACATCAGTATAGAACAGTATGCAAACATTTTGGTCAAAACTGAACATATATTATCAGTCACTGATGAATGTAATTTCTGAAAAATATCATACAAATCCCAGAAAGCAAAATACTGATTTTGCTTATCAAATAGCATATGAAAACGTATACATTTCGTGTTGCTTACGTCATTTTCTTATTATAATTTTAAAATGTAATTACTTACCTGTAAGTCTGATTGAAGATTCAGGCGGTTGGCGTTGTACTCTATGAAGAACACAACAGAGTTTTTATTCAATTTGTGTTAATTTTGGTAGATGTATGTTTATGTTTTGCTTATTAAAATGTTAGAGTTTTTTGTTTCTAATACGGTGGGTTTAAGACAAATTGATCATAATTAAGTATCACTCGACTTATGTTTTACTGGATGGAACGTTTGTTTGTTTGTTTTTGAATTTCGCGCAAAGCTACACGAGGGCTATCTGCGCTAGCCGTTCCTAATTTAGCAGTGTAAGGTTAGAGAGAAGGGAGCTAGTCATCACCACCCACTGCCAACTCTTGGGCTACTCTTTTACCAATGAATAGTG